CTTCAGCAGAAACGTGGCTCCATGCCAAGACACAGACTAACTTGTGGCTCTGGCTGCCGAGAAGCTGGAGCAGCGGGCTGAAACCTCTGCACAGCCAGGAGGGCTCACAATTCTCCCTTCTCCTTTATGGTTTGAAAGATTCCATGGCCACTTGATCTCAGCTCCTGTAGCTGAGCAGGTTATTCCTTCAGCTGCAGAAATAATAAAGCCTGCTGTGTACACCAAAAACCGTAACATCCTCACTCTATTCCCAAATTCCTGCTGCATCTCCCACACCTGTTTGGCCAGCTGAAGAGCAGCATGTGCTAGCTGGGCTGGTTCAGTGCTACACAGGAGAGGGCCAGCCATTGATTGATTCTCTCTCAGGGGCCAAACAAGGGGTGAATTATACCAGTCTTGGCCCTTCTCTGCCTAATTTCCCATCTCATAACAGCTCCAGGCCCACCAGCCTTCTGTCCTCTCCAGGAGGGGAGGCTATCACAGCAGAGCAGCCAGACACTGCCATTTGCTTAAGAAATGATGACAAAAGGCTACACCTCACAAGGATGAGATCCCACAGAGACAAGCTTGATTTCTGCAAAGTTACCTTCTCCAACCTCCCACTAAGCAGGGATGCCTGGTCCATGTAACATCTCCCCACCAAAGGTGACTGTGGATGAATCTTTCTTGTGTGAGAAAGAAATTGGTTAACAATCCAATTATTCTGGATTTTATTGAATAAATTTTGATGGTGCATGTTATCTCAAAAATCTGTTGGGTAGAAAGGATGTGTACAAAAAAGTTAGGAAAACTTCTGTCATGAATAATAAAAGCTCATCTTATCCTAAGAAAAGGAAATACTCAAACTTCCCTACACTTTTTTTTTTTTTTTGCCACTTTGTAGCTCTGCGGCTTATTCTGTTCTTCATGTGTTTTCATGTGCATACATTTTTACACAAGTAAATGTATACTGGTGGGAATAATTATTTGCTCCAGATTGACAATGCAGAACAGTAGGATGTTTCTGCTATAAAATTCATAAGGGATATTAGAGATCTGAGCTGGGCTACAGGAACTGATGGCTGTTAAGCTTCTATAAGGAAGTAGTGATTTCTCCCAAGAAATATTTTAGTGCTAATCAAAAGGGTATTTTGACTAAAATACATGAACTGGTTAATTAAACATCTTTTTTTTTCCAGAAGCTTTAACCTCTTAATCTCAGTGTAAACAAGAATTTTGAAGGGTGGAGCTATACCATTTCCTCTTGTTTGTGAATAAATTTATTTTTAAAAAATTTATTTATCAACTTTAATTTTATCCAGTCAAAATTTAAAATAAAATATATGTATTGTATACATATAAAATATGTATAAAATACATAGATATATGTATACATGTATTTTCAATTTAACGTTAGAAAGGCAGATGGATCTAAATTTTTAATAAGTTATCAGTTAATTTTAGGAACTAGAAACCTGAAATTCTTCTGGGGAGTTAAATACTCAACTGTGTAGCACTGATTATTGACATAAAAGCTCAGACTGCTATGAGAGATTTTCATATGGCTTTTCAAGAAGCAAGTTTTAATGTACGGAAACATCACAGGTAAGAGCTGGAATATCTGAGTATACTGTTCTTAAAATGATGGAGAGGAAACTCAATTGATGTTTTCTGACACCAGTTTTCCTTTTGGTTGGCATTACATAAATTTCACCAGAAGTTATCAGTGGGTGGATGTGTGATCACACTGTGCAGCATGGCTTCAGAAGTACACGGGCATCTCCTGAGTCCCTCAGAAATGAGTAGTAAGGACAGCCCACAATTCCCCTCTAAACTCTCTCCCAGACAGAAGAACCAAAAAAATATCTCTGGGACATGATAATTCTATCCCAGGAGCCATCTGAGCTTCCAGTGGGATTACAATTTTCTCCATTTGATTTAAACTCTGCCTCACTGTCACGTCAGTTGAGGCTCCCCCACTCATCTGAACTGGCTGCTGTTGGCCAGGAAGGTTTGGAGCTTTCCTCCCCAGGCTGGGAGCCTGCAGCACAGGGGTGAGTTTGCACTGCACCAGTGCTCCTCCCACATGGATCTCTCTGGAGGTGCAGCAGCTCATACAGAGACCTGGAGCTGCAGGCTGAAGCACAAGCCAAGGTAGATATGGGTCTGGTTTACACCTCAAATGCAGTTTAGTACTGAATTATTAAATGATGATTTTGCAGGTCAGTGTCCAGGTTCACACATTTATACACTCTTCCTCCACTGAAGAGCTTTAGATGATGTAGGTTTCAGCGGAAGGAGGTGTTCAATTGCTTTCACTGATAATGCAAGATCTCCACAGCACCTAGTATGCATCCTGTACTCATCTACACTTTGCTCTTCAAAGACCACACAAATCAATTAAAAAAAAAAAAAAGAAATATAATGTCTATAGCTGGTTTTGAAAACATTTTAAAAAGCAGCTTAAGGAAATGCATTACAATATAGGTGGGTTAGGTAATAGAAAAAGCTCCACTCTTCAAGGGATGGCAATTATACTCTGCATGCAGAGCTACTATTGCATTGTACATCCATCTAGTTTCTAGTACAAGACAGGAAAATGATGTTATAAATAATTTTCAGAAATGGATTTCTGATTATCAAATTTGTCTTATCTTTATAATAAGAAACATTAAAAGTCTAACTTTATTGCTCTGAGAAATTATCAGTTCTACTATGTTAATGAATAACACTTAAGCTTTTAGAAACTGAAAATTACAGCTGGAAGTTGTGGGGGAAGTTTAGTCTCTGGCAAATTGTCCCTTCAGTGGCAAGCCAAGTGTTCCCTAAGTGCTTTTACAAGGTGTGTTCCAAGGGCATCCCATAAAGCATGGCTGCATAGCTCTTGCACCCTCTTGTCTGCCATAACCCTTATTAGAGGTATCAGCCTACTAATACAAACATGCTGACAACCAGGGCACACTAATGCTACTTTGAGTCTTTGAATATAAACAATTAAACCCTTCAGGTTGTTTTGGTATTTTTTTTAATATGTGAAGATTGCTAGAAAAGTTGCTAGAATGTAGGAAGTTATAACAAAGTTATGGTCTTGAAAAAGCAGGGGTTTTGGGAAAGAATTTTATAGTTGCTGACATCAGTCCTGTTCACTGAAGACAGAAACTGTCCGAAGACAACCAACATGCAAATTATACAGTATCATATTCTTATATATTTGGAACTCTGGTACTACACTTCTGGAAGTAATGAGGGTTTTGCAACTGTTGAAGTAAGAACAAAGTCCATGCCTAAATGAGGAAAAGTTATTTTAGTAATATGAACAATCTTAATCTGTATCAAATATTTGTGCACTGAACATCAGTAAGGTAAACAGGATGGGATGCGAGTTTTGGCTGGTGTCAGTTTATGAAGCTTTTATTAGTTCATCCCAGGCCACATGATTCTGCTTTTTAAAACCTTTGAATTCTGTTGTAATTAAAACTCAGATAAATTTTTATTGCACTCAGTTTTAATAAAAATCTGGTCCAAATATTTTAATGTTTTTTATCTTACCATGCTTTTCTCTTTACATATATACACATATATTCTAAGAAAGGATTGAAAGATAATGAGTTTTGCTACACACAGCAAGATTTTGACAGATAAACCAACATTCTGTGTTTGAGAATACATTTTTGATGAGCAATAAGTATCACAGAATCACAGAATTGTTGAATTTGGGCATCAGCTCTTGAGACCATCCAGGCCACTCCCGTGCTTAGGGGGGTGCTTGGGGCTGTATCCAGACAACTTTGGAGCATCTCCAGGCATGGAATCCCAACAGCCATGGCGGACAAAGCAGCTTTTCCCTGGGAAGCATTTCCCACTGTGTTTGCAATGCCATGCTTTACTATGCAGGTTTAAAAAATAACATATATAGGTATATATCTTTCCTCTGAGAAGAACATTTTGCAGTTCACCATCATTCTGGGGAGACACTGGAAATACTTGCAGAGAGATCTTTCCCAGAAGTGTTCAAATAGAGCTTCAGGAATACTAGTTAAAACCTTTACTGGTAAAAAGAGAATTTTACCCAGAGAAGTTCACTTCTGATACATGCCCATATAGAGACTTTATTAGTGTCTAAAAAATTTTTCCTAACAACTATTCATTTACCATTTCACATTCTGTTAAAAAAAAAAAAAAAAGCTAGTTAGGAAAGAACAGTTTAATTTTGTGGTAAATCAGAATGACTGTAAAAGATTTGTTTTATTCCAAGTCACAGTATGAAAGGAAAGCTGGGTAAAGCAAGTGTTATTTAACACTAAATAATTTCATTTCCATGACTTCATCAGACTTACATATCAGCTATTCAGAAAATAGTCCCAAAGAGAGTCTTTAATTTAAACTGTCTGATGTTCTTTTGGCAGTTGTAGTGAAACCAAGAGATTTGTTCTCCAGAAAACTTGGACATAGTTTCAGTTCAGAGAAAAGGGGGAAGGTGGATTGGTAGTTTGGGGTTTTTTTTAAGGTGGACTTTACTGCAATTTACTCAGTTACTGTCAAACAAACTGTATTTTTTCTGGAAATTATTATAATTAAATATCATACTTCCTTCAAAAAGCCTTGTACCTTTTAAAAGCAGGAAAGGTTCTCTGTCTACAAAAGCTAACACCCAGTGAAAATAATAAATACTATATCTCTGTCCAAAAGGATTTTTTATTCACGCAATTCAGTGGAATAAAACATATTAGAAATTATTTCCCCAAACTAAATCCTTTGCTTCAAGCCATACCTCAGACTCAGATATTTTCTCAGAAAAGGCATAATGGAAATGTGAATAAATAAATGTTGGTTCAACTTAGCAAAATAAAACACTCTTTGACTGGCTGGAGACAGAAACACTTTCAAATAAGTCTTCATAAGCTGCTTCAGGAAATTAGTTCTAGAAATGGTGTTTACTGAAAGAAAAATGCTACTAAGAAAGGCACTGTCCCTTATTTAAAGTTTCTTCCAAAGTTAATTGTTCTTTTCACTATCACTAGGTCTGGAAAAGGTGCCAAAAGACCTTCCCCCAGACACAACCCTGTTGGACTTACAGAACAACAAAATCACTGAAATTAAAGAAGGAGATTTCAAGAACCTGAAGAATCTTCATGTAAGTCTAAAAATGAACTGGTATTTACCAACAAAAATGGGGAGAAAATGTGACTTTGGCCTGGCAACGCATTTTTTATGGAAAACAGATTAAATAATTTGCGATCCTCCTCCACCAGCCCAGCCTAATTATTTCTCTCCCCATTTCTCTCCTGCAAGCTTTCTTGCCAAACTCCAGAAGTTTCTCAGCTCTTTTCAGCTCTTCATGCCTGTCTCCTGTCCATTCAGTCCCCTGATCTCCCATCATAGCTCCTCTCACATATTTATTTATGTTCTCGGTCTCTTTGGCACAGTTACTTGGTAATTTCCATCTCAGCCCTGCCACCTCACTCCCTTCTTACTGTACTCTTTCCCCTCCTGCCTCTGAGCTCACAGAGATTTCTCTGTGCCACGTGTGTTAGCAGACATTCTGCACTAATATTAATTCAAGAATCTTTCCAAATTACTCTTCTGCCCCCTGGACTACAATGAAATTATGTTTTTGCAATAACCTTCTCCCTGCAAAGCTCCATCCTCATCCTTTACCTGCCAGTCTCTTCTAACACTTCTGTCTGGTTTCCTCTTTGCTGAAATATTTTCCTTCCTGGTTTCTGTGACTATTTTTTTTTTCTGGTTCACCTCTTCTTTTCCAAGTTTCCATCAGACAGCTACCTTCCTCTCTGTTTCTATTTTTTTTTTTTCTCTGTCTGAGGTCCTCCTCCCTGTCTATAGTTTTTATCAACATTTTTAAATACACACCTCATACTTCTGCCTGAATTTTGTTGAAATAATTTTCCTTACAGAGTAGAAAAAGGCTATTTTCTCTCTTTGAAAGTAATATCCTAACTCAGGCATACACCTGAAAATATTACTTTCTAGGCTTTCAAAAACTCATTTTATTCTGTGCATTCCTCCATTTGATCCTTTATTATTATAAACAATATCTTCTTTGGCTTTTCTTGCCTGGCTCTTTACAGCCTATTTTAATTCTATTCTATTCTATTTTATTCTATTCTATTCTATTCTATTCTATTCCATTTCTTTCACAAACAAGAAGCCAACTCCCAATTTTTTATCCTTAACTGGTGCCAATATCATCACCCAAAGAATTACTGTTTAAAACAAGAATCCGCATTTAGCTACTCATATTTGGAAAAAAACTATAAAATTTTACCTCTTTTAATTTCTTCCAAAGTCCATCTTAAATATTTGTTCAAATGCAACATCAAGAAGATAATTTTAAAAAATTGTGAATGCCAGACAGTCCATAGTGAAGGGATCTGCATGAGTGAATCATGATGAGGTTCATGTCATCTAATTTTAGCATAGGTGTCTATAGTTGATATAGTTCCACAGATAACCTCTAAAGACAACAAAACATGTTCTTCCACATCACATTTCAGCAGTCTAGCTTTAAGAATGAGATAGTTTGTTCCCCAGATTTTTTTTTCAGTTCCCTTCTTTGGCTACAGGACAGATTTGACACTGTAATTCCTGCCCATTTTCTTTGGTTTTCTTCCTCCTTGGAAAGAAGTCCTGTGTTTTCAGTGAAGCTTATCTGTGAGGTGCTAAAAGAGACAAAATTCTTATCAGTGAAATTAATCTTTTGGCAGTCGTTCTTCATGACACTGTATTAAATGAGTCAGAGCATGGCATTGAAGATGAAAATCACTGCTCCCAGTGACTTCTACCCACTTGGCATTTGGTTCAGGTCTCAATTACACATCCTGCTGTGAGCTATGCTGTTGTGAACTTATTTTATGTCATTGAAGTTAACTCTAAGGGGTTTTCTTTATTTTGTTTTTTTTCAGTTTTCCTGTTTTCTTTTTCTTTTTTTTACAGCAAATACAATTTAATAGTAAATTAAACACGTAACTCCTCAGGGAAGAAATTATTTGTTTGACTTACTCACAAAAGTACCCAGGAGATGCTTAAGGACCACTGGAAATCATGCATTAGCAAAAATTTTAACATGTAACCTTCAAAACTGCAATTTTCCTGGATTTACTCAAGAACAAATAATGATTCTCTCAAGGTCCCCTTCCAACCCAAACCATTCTATGATTCTATGATCTCCTCCCCAAAAAAATAATTTAGTCATGCAGTATATTTATGTAACTAGGCACCATCTTTGCTCTCAGCAGGAATATTCCTGTGTAATATCTGGGAACGATTCCCATTCCCCAACTTTCAATTAAATATTTTTCAGAGGGAGTATTGTTTTTAGAAAGTAAAACTCAAAAGCATTGTTACTGACAGAGCTCTATTATCTCATTTATTTTAAAGATATATGAGTGTGTGAGGCACATATAAAAAATGCATGTGCTTTTTAATCTTATTTCCAGAGAATCATGGCTTGGGTTAATGCCACAGTTGACAGTGTGATGTTCAAAAATTTCTTACACTTTACTAAACTTTCTTGTACTCTACAAGAAAGATTTACTAAAATTTCTGTGACAAAATCTAAAATTGGAAATTGGACTTAACTGCTTGCATGAATGATCACTTAAGGGAAAAACTCCTTAAACCCCAATTTTCATAGCTCTTGAAAAAAATGAGCAGCTTATACAGTTTGTAACTTTTAAATAATCCATTAAAATACCTTCCTAATACCTACAGATGTTACCAACCAGAAGTGAATCAGTTTTAGATGTGATTTTCATGAACAAGTTGGATTGAACCTAAGATTTGGCTGGTTCTAAAATCCAGAATAAGTAGCAAGAAAATAAAGGTTTTACCCCTAACTTGTTCATGGTTTCTCTTTCAGTACAAACGTAACTGCTTATGCTACACATCACTGTGTAGTGACACAGCACTGGAGATGAAAGAGAACTTAGAACCTACCAAAATATTCTTAGTATTGAAAATTTTCCTGAGTAGATTTCCCAAGCACAGCTAAAATTTGCAGCTGTGGAAATATGTCAAGCAATTAGAAGAGGGCACAGCTAAAGGAATATTTACCTGCAAATAATAGATTTCTGCCAAGAAACATCACAGTCAACAGTTACAGTGCACTTGATATTTTCATAGCTTTAAATTATCCAGGAAAAAGGGGCTAAACTATTAATGTTGTAATGTTGTACTATTAAAACTCAGTGAGACTTCACTCTATTTGAAAATGAAAGATTGTTTGTTTGTGTGGTTTTGGTTTTGTTTTTTTTAGCACAGGGATTGAGAAAACAGAGGAAAATGCGAAGACTTTTTAATGGGCTGAGGATTGAGTTTCACATTTTCAGAAAACTGTCTGATATTATTATATAAAAAAAGCTGCTTATGACTTAGACCTGTGGCAAAAAAGTCAGACAGGAAATCTATTGGAAAAGCCAGGAAAAAAAGTCTCTATTTCTATGAAACAGTAAGAATTTTCCAGGCAGACTGACATTTCTGGATGGAGTTCAGCACTTTGACCCCATGGACACAATAAAGAATCCAAAATACTGCATGAGCAAGCTCCCATGCAGAGTAAAGGAGGAGTCTGCACAAACAGCACATGGAGTTGCAGGCTGTGTGGCAAAGCCAGAGCAAACCAGAAGAATGCCTGCACCTGGAAAAAGAGGTGAAAGAAACTGCTCTGTGTTAGATCACTACAAGAACAGCACAAACAGCAGAATAGTGACTGCATGCTTCTCCAACAAGAATTTTTCAATTGGCAGAGTGCTAGAATAGTGAAAGAAGATGAGTGCACTATTGGCCTGAAATCAAATGAAACATTACCTAATTGAAGCTAGCAGAACTGTTTAAAGCCATGGCTGTGCATACAAAAATGCTAAACTAAACTTTGTTTAAACTGAAGGAAAAGATCTAAGAGATAAAAGATTTAAACTTGGAACTTAAAGTTATGACCATATCCACACTAAATGTGCAGGCAGAGAAACTGAAACTCTTTTAGTAGTAACAGCAAGTGGAAAATTAATGTATGGCACTAGAAAATTTAATGCCATCCTTTTTTAAAACAAACAAAGAAACAAACAAACAAAATAAAAATCCCAAAACACCCAAACAAAGCAAACCAAACCTAAAGAAGATCTTTCAGAGATACAGAAAACCCCTGAGATCAAAAGAATCAATTAAATAATCCAGTCTTCTGATGACTCATTACATTTTCAGTTCCCTTTTCCCAGGCATTAAAAGAAGTTAACACCTTGTCTCTGTAAATCACAGAAAGAAGAATCAGTAATCACCATCCTACTGTGGAAAAATAAAGACAGATATCTCTGTCCAGCTTCTATCTCTGAACCCAGTTCCTATTATCATGAGTGGCATGACTGAGGTGCAGCTTTAGGTTCCTAAAAAATATTCAGAGAGGGGAACAAAAAGTTAATCTTTCTGAAATACAGCACTCCCTTAGAGAATTTTCACTTCCTCATACTCACCTTTGCATTATGCTTAAGAAACAGTGAGATTTTCCACAGAAACAAGTATATAACAGACCACATGAACAGAAAACATTTTTCTTGTACAATGGCTAAAGATTTTTTCATGTGAGGAAAAAAAACAGGACTAAATATTTGAAGTCCTTAAAATTCTGGAGAGAGCCAGCATTCTAGGCTAATAAAAAAAGGAAATTTTTATAGAATATAACAATTAAAAAATCAGATCAATTGTAATAAATTTAATGAATGACCAAAATTTCTTGCCACAGTAGACAAGGACAGGGTTGAATGAAAAAGGAAAATGCAGAACCACCTGTTTCCTCATCGTCTGTGCAAGTCATGTTGCATGAGAGGTACCAGTGAGAACTCAAAGGCCAGGCAAACTAGGTCTGCAGCAGGCTCCTTTGCTTGGTGAGATTATTCAACAAGGTCCTGTGCACATGATTAAAGTGTTTTCCACAGGCTTCTGTTGTTTGTACTGACAGGCTGCTTCTTCTTCCTTCACAGTTCATTCTTCTCTATTGCTTCCATCTCATCCTTTGTTTCCTTGCTTTCCTTAGCTATGTCCTCTTGATCCTAGCTTTGGATGATTAGAGAAAAATAATAACAGCATTTCTGTCAAGTTCTGGTTTTGGGGGGTTTTGTTTGTTTGTTTGTTTTGTTCTTGAGTTGTTTGGTTTTTTAGTTTTTTTCCATAAATGTACATACATCCTTAATAATTTTGAATAAAGTCTTCCCTCTCTGTTCAGGTTGTAAGCATGACTTAACTTAAAATGTAAGGTAAACAAAAGGGATGAATTTTATTATTATTTTTATTGGGATGCCTGGCTCCTGAGGTTAAAGTTCTTAAGATATAACTGTTCCTAGCAGAACTGTAATAAAAAACAGGTAATAATGTAATACATAACCCAGGAAATTAAAGAAATTCCATTGGGTCAGGGATTGACTTTTCAGTTTGAACCCTGAAGGATGCATGCATCAGTAAAGAATTGATGTTAGATAAGAGTTCCATCCCCAGCTGGCAAAACAGGTGTATCACTATGTAATATGGCTGATGAAAGTCTGCTGGTAATTTTCCATTTTAATTCTGGTTTTGGCAAGGCTCTCACTTCTAACTGTACTAAATTAAGATGAATGGGGATTGAAACGCCTCAGAACAGTCTCCTGAGATTCTCATATAATGAAATTACACCAGAAACTTTAATTCCCCACCCCTAGACAGGACAAAAGTTGGAAGTTTTAGTAACCACAACAAGAACAACCCTATGCTAATTCCAGCCTGCCTGCCACACGCTGCCTCTGCAGCTTGTCAGGCTGTATTTTGACAAAAGCCTGCCAACAAGGATTCCAAAATTTTCCCGAATTGTGAATCCTCCTTTTTGTGTTGGGAATAAATATTTGATGTAGAAACCAGGTCAGAGGGAGCTAAATGGCCAGACTCCCACTGACTTCAACGTAGCCAGGGTCTATTCCTGTCATACAGTGGTTTTTATTTTTCTCCTGACTACAGAAATACCAGAGGTGTTTCACTAAAAGAGAAAGTCATCTTTGGAGCAAAGTTTAATTTTTTTTCCTCTCTGAACGCTACTTAAACTGCTGGTCATGATAAGGTGGTGCAATATTACAACTGAGTCAATGTTTACTGTGCATTTTACATGCTATATTATGACAAAGGAAAAAAGCTTTATCTCAGGAAAATGAGGATGGAAGTTGAGTTTTATCCATGGGAAATTGCTATGAAACCTCTAAGCCTAACAAACTGATGTATTAGTACCTAATGTATTTTTGCCTCTTTCTTTCTTTCTTTCTTTCTTTCTTTCTTTCTTTCTTTCTTTCTTTCTTTCTTTCTTTCTTTCTTTCTTTCTTTCTTTCTTTCTTTCTTTCTTTCTTTCTTTCTTTCTTTCTTTCTTTCTTTCTTTCTTTCTTTCTTTCTTTCTTTCTTTCTTTCTTTCTTTCTTTCTTTCTTTCTTTCTTTCTTTCTTTCTTTCTTTCTTTCTTTCTTTCTTTCTTTCTTTCTTTCTTTCTTTCTTTCTTTCCTCTTCCATATATTTTTGTATCCATACCAGGTCATGTTGAAAGCTGTGCATTTGTTTTCTCAGTCACTTTTATTGTCAATTCATGATGTGCTTCAATTTTTTGGACAGGGGAAGTTAGGATTAAGGGAATATATTTATTCTAAATGAAAAATCCTTTTTCCTCCATTAAAAGTGAAAGTGTAGAAGAAGATAGATTTTCAAATAAGGGCATCAGTTCATGAAACTTTTGTTCTAGGATGTCATTTCTGCCAAATTATCTCACACCAGCAGCATTGCAAGTGGTATCTGTAACCAAGGGCTCCAGCATTCTTGAGCACTTTCAGGATGACCGTTATTTTTCTCTCCAAGTGCTTCTTGCCCTGTACAAAATTTTCATGTCCTTTAACACACTGAATGTAATGTCCCATTGTGCCATCTGGGCTTTATTCTGGATAGCTGGTCCTGTGACCTGCTTTTGCCTAAGACCCATTCCTCTGTAACACTGCCTGCAGATGTTCTCCCTAGGTTTTTGTCCCCTAGTTCCTGTTTTCATTGACCTCTAAATCCCCTGAGTTTTTAATTTCATTTTATTTTGGTTTGGTTTAGCTTTTGTTACATGCAAACCATGCGGGACACATTCTGAGGAAAGTAAACAGCCTTGCTGCAAGGCTAATAACTTAGTTCTTCAAGTAAGGGATATAATAGAGGCATTGTGAAGTGGGAAAGGAATCCAGGGCTATGGCTTGCCAGGTGCTATACGGGTGTGTTATCCTCATTATTTGTTGTTGCTCTGGGAGACAGCAAAATGTCTCTTACAAACTGTGGTGTGTGGGTTTATTTTTCCTTCTTTACAGCTGCACAACAATGGAAAAATAATGCAGGTTTAAAATACTGGCAGCAGGGACTTGCACAGAGGGCTCTAAGTGGGAAATACTATTCTGGTACAGAAAAAGTTGTAAATTCTGGCTTGTGTTACTTTCCCACCTTATACCACCAAACACGTGTTCTCACTGTGAAATTAGTGGCTTTATACATATCTTTGATAGAATACCGTCATTTCTAAGTGAGACTCCTTGAGTGTTTGAATAATAAAAAAATCTGTTTCCCCAAGAAAACATTAACATATTCATGAGAAAGCATTGGAAAAGCATAATTCTAGGTACCTAGATAACTTCTGGGTTTGGTCAGGGGTATCAGTTACATTCTGAAGAGATATAACAATCCGCTACTCTGAGAATATTTACAGTGCCTAGCTGAATGTATGCCTGCCTATTTCCCTCAAGAAATATTTGACACCAAGTCATCCGCTGTGATTACTGTTGCACTTTTTTTTTTTTAATTTAAAAGATAAAATAGTTAAGAGAAATCCAAAAAAGGGAGACTTTTAGCTGAAACAAATGGTTAATCAGTAAAAAAAAAGATACAGGATAAAACTTTCAAATATTCATAACATGAGCCCAAACTCATTGAGTGTTGACTTAGAGATCTATGAAAAAAATACATGGTGAAATTAATAAAAATAAAGACCAATGTAATTAGCAGTAGCACATTTGATTATCGAAATAAAAGCAATGTAATACACTAATCTGCATAATTCCAAATGTATCACCTTTAAATAACCCGATTGCCATGTCCTAATACTCTACAGGTAGCTGAATTTCACAGTGGGCAGAAGCTACATCTGTATCACAGTTCTGGCAATCATGAATCAGAAAACCACTCCCAATGTGTATCCATGTGTTCTCATGTCAGATTTTATCATACAGGCCCAAATAAAAGGGAGTTGGTGCCAGGGCCTGCACTGACCAACATATTTATTTTGGGATGGGCTTATTGTTAGGGAAAAGCTCTGCTGAACTGTGGGTGACCTCTTCTCCCTCCTCTTGCATGTGAGTTATTTCTAGCTAGCACACCAAATTGAAACCAGCTCTGTTCAGCTTTACGTGCACTCAATGAAACCATGTCCAGGACACACTGCTGGCTTTGCTCAGGGTGATCTGCTAGAGGAGTCCATCAGGGGAAAAACTCATCGCCATTTTCATCTTTCACTCCTCTTTCCAGTTTCCATGACGGAGAGCTGCTCTCACAGAGGCTGATAGTCTTGTCACTGCTTTAATACTTAACTGATTGTGGAATGTCAGACACTCCATTTTCCTCCAAGAAACAGACTAAAGTGTAATTCTGAAAATATTGAAAATATGAAAACAGTCTGAAGTTCACTATAGTATTTACAACAATTTTTGTCTTCTGTTTCTAAAACTAGCACAATGGAGGTGGTGAAAAAGATGCCCTATTAATGAATATAAGTAGGTATTATATCAATACTTAAATGGCACATTCTACATAATCCACTGCAAAAAACATGCAGCGCTGTAAATCTGATAAGTAGATAGCAAACAGATGGAATGATAAGAATCATTCAAGTGTCTATTATACCTGAAATAATCTCCATTACTGTGTTATGTCCTGATAGTAATGAAACCTACTCCCTTTTTGTGTCATGGTTAATTAATCTATGAGATTTAGAAGTAATGTAAAATTTCAGAGGCATGCAGAGAACACCTGTTACAGATAAGAGTGCTTTCATGAAGGTCTTTCTCTGCTGACTGTATAGAGAGATAATCTTAGAGTTACCCTGAGTCTAGATATCACAGTTGTGAGAACTGAATTAGGCACTTACAAGTAAGGCAAAGTACGTGTGGTCCATGATTCCCAACAGCAGGGCCTGGAGCCTGATGCTTCAGATTGTTCCCCTTCCAAACAAAATTTTTCTTACCGAAAAGATAGCTTATATCTCTGAGAAAAAAAAAAAAAAAGTTGTTATTTGTCCAAAATCTAGTAAGTGCTGTTTTATAAGAATAAGAGGAATGAGGTGAAGTTATGCATATTTTTATTAAGCTGGGCTGTGCCTTCACTCTATTGGGTAATAGAATTTCCTGTTCAGGAGACACTGGTTAGAAGGGTTGTGTGATGATGGATAAGGTATAACAGTATCCTTAGGATAAACAAAACCAGAAAAAAAATACCCAAATAAAAATTGTATTTTTTGCGACTGTCCTGTTCTTCCCAGCTTTCAAATGGAATGATTGTACTTATTCTTAAACATAAACTATGGATGCTAACAGAAGCTGCACTGCAGTCCCAGCAATGAAGAAACACTTGCATTTGTTCTATAGGACTTATGTTTCACTGTTTCAGAAGTTTATAATCTTTTTTTTAGTACTGCATTATATTTACTTCAGCTCACCAAATTTGCCATCAGAAGACCTCAAAAGGCAGTAGAGAATAATAGTAATAGTAATAGTAATAGTAATATAATAATAATTTTAAAATGTTTCACCACAAAAATAACTTCCCTTGTGGTCATCTGAGATCTCCTTGATTATTACTCCACAGGCATTGATCCTTGTCAACAACAAAATCAGCAAAATAAGCCCATTAGCTTTTGCTCCTCTGAAGAAACTGGAAAGACTTTACCTGTCCAAGAACAACCTGAAGGAACTCCCAGAAAACATGCCGAAGTCTCTCCAGGAGATACGGGCTCATGAGAATGAGATCTCCAAATTGAGGAAAGCCGTCTTTAATGGACTGAATCAAGTGATTGTCTTAGGTATGAGCATGAGAAATTATAACAAACACAACTGAGTGTTTTTTAAGATGCTATTTGTAGTTTGATCAGTGATTATAGTAGAAAGGCAACAAGTGCCCCAATAAATTGTGCCTCCAAATTAGCTATGACCTGAAGAATATAAATGCCTACATTGCAGCCCAGCTCACAACCATGTTTTGTTGACAGAGCTCGGCACCAATCCAATCAAGAGCTCAGGCATTGAGAATGGAGCTTTCCAGGGCATGAAGAGGCTCTCCTACATCCGTATCGCTGACACCAACATCACAAGCATCCCAAAGGGTAAGAAATTCCATTAGTATTTCAGGGAATTGCACAGATAGAACGTGGTAACTTCTACTCAGTTGGGAAAAAAATATTATGAAAGCTTTGTAAATCTGTCCCTAAAGTATCTGGTTTTAAACCAGATTACTTTTATTAGTTTAGAAAATTTTGGCATTCGGTTACAAGAAGCTTCATGAGAGGTACACTGTGAAATGTCATTTTATGTTATTTTGCTTTTGTTGTCTCATAGCTGAAATATAAAATGGAAGAACTTTTTCAGCCCCCAAGCCTGATTAACACTACACAACTGTAAACTCATGTAGAATTAGCTGAAGTTGTACAAGCATAAAATCAGCCCTCCACAAGTCTGTGGGTTTGAAGCCAAAAATAGTGTCCCTATAACAAAACAGAAATCTTTGCTATTTTTCAAAGTCCTTAATTGCAAATTCCTAGAAAATAAGAAAAATTTCATTGTAATTTATTAAAAACAAAACAAACAAACAGGAATTATTCTAATACAGATGAAATGATATTCAATTTATTCATACTTCAGTCAACAGATTGTTTGGAAATGGCTGAAAACTTTTTGAGACATAATACTGATTTTTGTTTTTTTCTTCCCATATTTCCTGTTCTGGATATTCTTTTGAGGGACCTCAGTTAGGTAAAATGTGTTTCCTCTTTTGTTTTCCCTGATAAACAGAATTTGTAAACTAGTATGCACCCTAACTAAAATGACATTAAAATTATTTCGCCTCATACTTACAGCTGCATTTTCTACTGCTGTTTCTTGTTAAATATCTAGGTGATACATATTTGCACATTTATGTATATGGATAGTCTGGCTAAAATGAGAGATCTTTATAGGTCTCATTTACATAATCATGAAGGGTAGAATTAATAAATGAGAAGAATTTAATTTTTCAAGAGTTAACTGTTTTATAAGGACACTAGGGTTGTGAAAGCTCTTTATTTCATTTAGTGAACATTCATGGGCAAGTTTAGAAATATTATTTTGTCAACCGTGAAAGAACCTTGTTATGGTACAATTTTTTTTTTAAATATAAGTATCCAGTTTAATCAAAATTAATTTGATGGTGTTCTCTCTTTCAGGCCTTCCTCCATCCCTTACTGAGCTTCACCTTGATGGCAACAAAATCAGCAAAATTGATGCTGAAAGTCTCTCTGGACTCACTAACTTGGCAAAGTAAGAATAAATTTCTTCTTTTCACCTAACATATTAGTTGAAATTGCAATGACCACACACACAATTATAAAGCATAAATCTGTCCTTCATGAATACTAGAATCATTGAAATATTCATAACTTAGCAGGAAAGGCTTCTAAGGATTTGTGTGGTGATTGAAGAGAAGAAACACTTTTTTTTTATTTTCCTGACAAAACTTTTCATCTGTTTTCAATTATGAGTGCTATATGCTCGGGACAACTGTTTATTTGATTTACAAAAAACAAAAAACAAAAAGAAAACAAAAGAGAAAAACACACACATGCACAAAGCTGAACAAAAAACCCCATAAAACCCAAACAAACAAACAAGAACAATTAGACTTTTTAAATTGTATCATGCCTCTTTCATTTCATGTCCATCTTTGGTTTATGCAGTTTTCTTGGAACACAGCAATGCTCATGCAGTTTGCCTGGAAAATGAGGAAAAAAGTACATGGGAACCAAAACTTCTTTCAACAGTGGTTCCTTTGTTTCTCAAGAAGGGCAAGTCTGCAATGAGTCCAGGAACATGATTAAGAAAAAAATAATAAAATTTAATTGAAAAATTGTTACTGTCAGAGTGACTTTACTCTGCTAATCTGTGGTTATGTTGATGAATAAGTTTCTCTAAGTGTAGGAAAATAAAAAGGGAAATTCCCAAAAATCCCTTAAACAGAGTGATTTGTGAATTAATTCACATCAAAAAACATGTAGCAGAGAAAAATGGTCCTTTACTACAAATAATTTTTATAATTTAATATTCAAAAAATTACCATGAAAATGGGTTTTAAAAAGACTGATAATCAGACTTCTAACCAGATTACTGGATTAATGGATTTTCATGATTCTGCTTGTCATAACGAGGGTTGAAAATAGAAATCAGAGAGAGATTACTGAGTAAGGGGAGTTTAGTTTACAACTATTTATAGTTGATTGAACAGTAGTTCAATGCAATGAAGTATATAGTAACCTAATATTTATTTTGAATCTGAAAATTCCAAGATATAAGTTTAGAACTGCTTTCCAGATCTTATAAGTTAAGACATTTCATCTTATGTTTTATGTTAATATTTCATCACAGACTCAAAAAGAAATCTGTCCTAGATTTTGATGAAAAAATAAAAATATTACAAATATGGACTAAAGGACTATGAAACAGTTATTGTTTGTTACAGTAGCTTAGAATAGATTATAAGATTCTTCAGAGAAATTATGAAGAAAACTTCCAAAATCGAAACAAGATGATAACTACTCAGGTAGAGAGTATTTACATTACTGGAGGTGGGGGCTGTGGGCATGTGAGCTGCCCTGCAGATGACACGGTTTTTCTGTTTTTCTCATTCACACTTGGAAAACACCACAGGCAGCATCACATGGACAACACTGTTGGAAGTCTGCCTTAAGACATAAAGTTTGAAACAGCAGGTGCCAGTGGAGTCCTAAAAATATCTAAGCTTGGGCTGCTCCCATTGTGGCTGTACTGTATGGCACAACAAGATACTCTGCTGACCAGGGTGTGGAAATGTGGAGCTACTCAGAGCAGGCTCCAGGTTTTAAAGCACTCTCTGCCCTGTGCTTAAGCAGGAAACATAAGCATAGTCAGAGATGCTCTTTTGCAAAGGTGAGAGGTAAGGAAGAGCATGAACAAGGAGCACATTGCACAAAACAGACAGATGGGGAAAGGAGGGAGCCATGGAAGAGCTCTAGCCCACCATAGAGAACCCCAGCTTTTTTTTAATATGACTAAATTTTCAGAGATATTAGGACAAGGTCAACCTTGTTAAGGCCTACTCAAGACTGACAGTCTTATAGCTGCCCTAAAGCACAAATAAACTTTGAGAAACAGGTAATTTTTCTGGCTGTGTTAAGGAATTTTAAATTGTAAAATGCAAGAGCTTGGTGTATGTCTGTTCATTCTCTTTTGAGTTTTCTTGCATTCTAGTAGATGCACAAAATTTATCATTTTTGTTTGTTTTCCTTGTAAAATTATTCCAGTCTTTCAAAAGCCTTCATTGAGTGATTCAGTAAAAAACCAATAATCTTCTGAAAATAAATCCAAAAAATACTTTGCTGATTACATGCAGGAATGAGTTCCAAGAGAACATTCACATTACACATCCTTACACATGTTGATATCACCATGTTGATATTACACATGTTGATGTTACGCATGTTGATATTACCATGTTGATATTACACATGTTGATGTTACCAACATCTATATTCTAATGAAACTTACTGAAATGGTCTAGCTTTAAACAGTGGAAATTGAACCAAACAAAGTGAGTTTTCGCTTAGATGTCAGGAAAAATTTCTTTACTGAAAGGGGGGTCAGGCACTTCAACAAGCTGCCCAGGGAAGTGATAGAATCAGCTTCCCTGGAAATGTTCAAAAGGCACAGGATGTGGATGTGGCTCCTGGGGACATGGCTTAGGGGTGAATGTGGTGGACTGCATTAACGTTTGGACTTGCTGGTCTCAGAGGTCTTTTCCATCCCTAATGATTCTATGATTCTAAACCCATAACAATAATAACAGTGCTGAGTATCATGAAGTTTCTTTCAAAAACACAGTGGAAATGATTCAGCGGGGATGTTGGAGAAAAATGGTGAAAAATTATTTGAGAGTTTCTTCAATTTTGAGATATGTTTATGATGATGCTCTTCAATGATTTAGAACACTTGGATGAGATTTACTGAAACACTGGGAAAATGTTACTTATTCACTAATGAGAAAGGAAGTAATATATCAAATGTATGAAGCAAGAATGATTTGTGAAATTCTTCCTTTCTTTTCCTATGGGAAGGGCAATGGAGACCATATTCTTTCCAAATCACCCTCTGTTTTATACAATAATATTGACGTACTTCATCTGCAAGCATAGCCCCAAGTGACTGAGAGTTTTTGTAAGACATTTAGAGGAGATGTAATTGCATATAATTTCATTCCTTATGGGATTTAGGTCCACTTCACTACAGACTCCCATAATTTCATTCTTTCCCTAAAAGACTGTGCAAAGGGACTATTTTTCTTCAATAGATTTATATGAAAGTCAGAACTGGTTTTCTTGGTACTGGTCTCCCAGGTTTGACACATCTGCTTGTCAACCTGCGTATGTAGAGAGCACATATTTAGATATGTGTCAAACAAGAATTTATAGCCCTCTGAAAAAACATGGAGGTTTTTTTTCCAATCTTTTCAAAGACATTCACTATGAGTACCCATCACTGAAGTCCATTGTAAGCATTCTGTAGAACTTCAGAGAGAATTGCTATGTAGGATTCAATTCCCCAAGCGATGCTAAATCTTGGTATACCCTATTCAAAAGAAAGTTCATTCTAATAACTTTTAATGAAAATTCTTTATTATCAAATTCTAGCTAGGAGAACTGTGAATTGATTTCTGAGCAAAGTAAATTCATGTTATGTAAGTGGGAGCTCACATTAAACTCTCCATTGTCAGTTAATAGTTTGAAAGCATTGCCATATCCAAATTAGTGGCATAAGACTATTTGCATTATATGTAATACTAATTAATACTAGGAAACTTCTCATCCATAAAGATCAAGCAAGAATTTTCAGTCCTGTGATTTTGTTCTAGTTTCAGGCCCTGACTTCTGAAACTGCTACTAGCTACAAGATTGCAGGCTATTAGATAACTGTGAAGAAGGCTTTCTTTAAAAGTACTCCTCCATAGCAAATTATTTTAACATGAGGTCTCTTATTACCTGTATTAAATTCTCTTATCAATTAAGCTGTTAAGAAGTCTCAGAGTATTTTCCCCCTCAATATTAATTTTTTTTTTCAAACATTTCAGACTGGGTCTCAGTTTCAACAGTATTTCTTCAGTTGAGAATGGCTCTCTTAACAATGTACCTCACCTGAGGGAGCTCCACTTGAACAACAATGAACTTGTCAGAGTACCCAGTGGACTGGGTGATCACAAATACATACAGGTAAAGTTTATCATACTGTATCAGAGAGCAATAGATGGAAGATTCCTAATGGTATTTGTGTGTTTATTCAGTCTTGAACAGAAATGTGCACAGGATTTTTAACTTGATGCAAGTTTCATAAGCACTTGAATTTTGAAGGAAATGTTGAATACAACAGGAAGACTCTTATTGCAATTTTTTGGTGAAAATGGTTATGGAGATGTATAGATCTGGAGGTGTACATTTGTTGTGTCTGTATGTCTGAAAGGCCACAAAAAATATGGTATTATTTTTGAACTTTGGTTTCCTCATTACTCAAAAAATAATTTCTAAGACAATTTCTTCTGTTGATTTTTTTTTTCATTTCTACTGAGTGACGTTTTGCAACCTTTCCCAATAACCTTTCCTTTGTTATCTCACAAAACAGTGCCATCAGGAGGACAAACAGACAAAATAGGCATTTCACATCACCAGAATTTCTGATGTCGTTTTGACCAGATATCTAGAAATATTTCCTCTTGGAAGCAATTCAAATCTGTCTTCACCCAGACTAAGATTTTACAGGAAAGAAAGCTCTCAAAGAATGAAGACTCCTAAATGTAAATTGCCCCCTTCTTGTTGCTTGGAAAAATGCTCCAAAAGTGATGAATCTGGAGCTGAATAATATTCATCAGCTACTTTAAATTGTCATTAGTGTTACTTTGGCTCTGAGTCCTGTATAGTTGCACTCATGAGAATGAAAATATTAGAGTTGGAGAGAAACCAATTGGCATCAAATATGGTCTCTGTATGATGTCGTTATAGCGCACGATACAACACAAAGTACCATGACTCCAATAGAAGGGTGCAAGAGAGATTTATTATAGCAATATGTTGCTTTTCTACCTTTTCCAGATATTTACATTCACTTAACATACACATTCACTGCCCATTGGTTATAGGAAAGAATCAAAATTCTCAGTAGGTGACCAAGGAGCCATGTCATTGTGAGCCAGCTACAGTCCACATCTCTTAACTTTCTCTCCTTCATCACATCGCCGTGGTGACAACCTTGGTGTCTTCCTCAGGAGAGATATGGGGCTTCCCTTTACCTTCAGGAAGCCTTTTCTGGCTCACAAGAACAGCACAGAATGTCTTTCCTGCAGTATACAGTGCATGCTCCAGAGCCACAGTGTTGTATTCGTAACTTCACATCTTTGGCTCCTCTTTTAGTTACAGTTCCACCAGCTGACAGCAACATTATTGTGATGGTGTTCACAGGGGTCCCAGGATGAGGGAAGAGATGAGAATGTTGACTCCATGTTTCAGAAGGCTTGATTTTTTATTTTATGATATATATTATATTAAATCTATACTAAAAGAATAGAAGAAAGAATTTAATCAGAGGGCTAGCTAAGAATAGAAAAGGAATGATAACAAAGGCTTGTGACTGACCAAGACAGCCTGGACAGCTGGACTTTGATTGGCCATTAATTAGAAACAGCCAACATGGACCAATCAAAGATCTACCTGTTGCCTTCCACAGCAGCAGATAATCATTGTTTACATTTTGTTCCTGAGGCCTCACAGCTTCTCAGGAGAAAAAATCCAAAGGAAAGGATTTTTCATAAAATGTGTCTGTGACACATTATTAGATTCCTTGCACAGTTTGTGCACTTTCTGTAGAAATTATGTCAATTGGGTATATGCTAGGTATTTCAAAAGGTAAATAGAGTCAAAGATTTGTTTGGAAAGAAGACATATTTGCATAATGTTGCCAAAACACATCTGAAGCATTTAATATGAAACATTTTCTCTTATTTGCCGTGATAGCTCAATTTCTCACTTCAGTACTTGTATGCTTTTCAGGTGGTCTACCTTCATAACAACAAAATTGCTTCCATTGGCATCAACGACTTCTGCCCCCTTGGCTACAACACCAAGAAGGCCAGCTACTCCGGCGTGAGCCTCTTCAGCAACCCCGTGCAGTACTGGGAGATCCAGCCCTCTGCCTTCCGGTGTATCCACGAGCGCTCCGCAGTACAGATTGGGAATTACAAATAGATCTCTAGGGATGGGGGTCGGTTGTGTTCCAGCTAAAGTGTCTGTCCTCATAGGCCTGTTCCAAAAGCCGTTGCTAACAATTAACGCCAAATGCCAGAAACTTCACTTTTAAGTGGAGGTGATCCATTGATGTAGAATTAATGAGACATAACAGATGTACAAGAGCGAGCATACCACCAATAAGAATTGCCCACTGTGCTTTAAACTGACTTATTTCAGCCTTCTTTTCCAGCATGCTTTCTGTGGCATTTTTCAGTTTGCTGAATGCTGCAGGTTTTCAGATTCCACTGTATATGAAATTCGGAGTAAATATTTGTCAAGTTATGATTTATTAAAAAAAAAAGACAGTGATTGAGGTTATTTTTATAGCCACACACAGAGAAAAATAGCAGAGGGGAAAAAAGACTCTCAAATCATCTTGAGACTTGAGAAGGTAAGAGTTACCTCCTTTAAATTTATTTCAAGCCCTGGAGGTTTAAAAATATCCACTATAAGATAATTCTGAATGTATCTATTTAGCAGAGGCAAATAAAGTTGTTGCTAATGTCATTATTTTTGAAAAAAATAAATAAATTTGTATTTTACACATAGTTCTTTAAAGTTTGCCATTCTTCTAGAGCAATGCTATTCAGAATTAGCCTAACATCATCCTAATGAATAAAATATTGAGTAGTCTGCAGTAAAAAACTTGTAACCTATATCTGGAGCTCGATGACTAAATTTCTCTAGAGCGAATCCTTCGTACCTTAGTCACAAGAGCAGTTTTTATGACTGTACTGCCTTGCAGAGTATGGTATAAGGGTTTAGTAATTGTTATCAGTCCATGTATTTGTCTAAAAAAAACCCATAGCAGTTCACTTTTCACTTGTTCTTCATTGTACATTTATCAACATCCTTTACTGGTTTTGGTTTTTAAAAAATGGAATTAATTGTGAAGTAGAGATATGCAGGCTCCTCTGTCCGACAAATTTGTGGAATTTTAACTATAGAAGCAAAACCATAAGTATAGGAATATATGAAGTGAAACAACTGCTATTGTGGACATTGTTGAGACATCATTTGTAGATGCATCTATTTAGAGTGATTTGGAGCCCTCTGTAAATTGGGATTCTTCAACCCATACCTGTGGGTAGCAAGCACATCAAAGGTAGGCTGCACATATCTACTGTCAATCTTCAAAGCTAAACATATACTCAATAAAAACATCACCTGAAAAAAATCTTCTGCAGACTCTTAATACTCCAAAGTCAATCTCTCTAATTTGTAAAACTTATATGTCATTTATATTAAAGAATAATGTAATACAGGCAAACTCCAAAGTGTTTGTCTTTCTTCTTTTGTTTTGATAGAACAACATACATGTGTCAGAACTTTAAATAAGTCTTGAAAATTGAACATCTTTGGCATAGTGATAGCTAAAGTAAGAATAAGTTCTGTGAAATTCTTTTGCCTCAAGGAGCATTTTCATGCCTGACTTTCATAGGTATATTTTCAGGAGCAAACAAATATAGTCTTTTTATAGCTGTCATTTATTCAGTAGTAAATGATTGGAAACAATATGACTCACTATAACCGCTACACAGCAAAAAGCATGTTTGCACTCTTCTGGGCTATCTTCTTCATATAGTAGCCAATGATTTCTCTGCTTCTATCTGTTTTCCTTCTGGATTTCACATTTTAGAGAGTTATTTTTAAATAAAACAAACAGTATATGATATCTTTCTGTCACAGGAGCGAAAACACTGCAGCAAATCATCAGTTATGGGTTTTTTCCTTTTGGTTCTTGGTTGGATGTTGACTGTTGTGCAGAGACTTCATGCAGAAAACTAAGTACTGGCATTTCAAGAGAGGACAAAGGCACTGTCTTAGCCTGAAAAACTCCACAGAGTTTGTAAGTACATGGTTACAGAAAGATATTCACACAAAAAAAAACAACAATTACATAAAGCATCATGTAAACATATGCACAAACTCTCCATTTCTCCATCCATAGTTTTAACATCTCACATACTAAGGCTTTCCTTTCAAATTAGATCAAAACTTCAACAAGTCCAGAAGAAAATATCTGAGTCTGCTCCTCCTCTGTAATACCCTATCAAGCTTGCTGCTGTCTGTGAAAGCGTAAGTTATTTCCCATAAAATACATTCCCTTCTAACAACCAAAGGCTGCAAAGATAGCAGGACTTCCCTGATCCCCAGTCTTTCTCAATAAAACAAAACAAGCAAATCCTGTAACAAGAGACCTAAGCAAGATAATTTTGAAAAATTTGAAAGGTAAGCACACTGTAGGTTTTCCATAAGTTGTGCAGCCACACCAGTAATATTTGACTGATGGGATTCTATCCATGCACAGCATCTGCAGAGACTTCAAAGCAGTGGGAAGCCCAATACTTTCAAAACTGCTCTTCATATAAATAAAGAACAGATGGTTCTTCCACTTAAAAACAAAACAAGGAAAGAAAAAAAAAAGAAAAAAAAAAGAAAAAGAACAAACACAAACAATGTATAAACAATTGGGTGGAAAGAAATAAGAGAACTAAAGCAGAAAAACTTTGGGCCTTGCAGTGCATCTTCAACTTCTTTGTAAAATATGAAGACAGTAAATGGTCACAACTGTTGGACTCAAACACATAAAGAATAACTAATACCTTGTTTCCTGGTGCAGGCTAAAGCAAACCTTACTGCCAACAAGGGTCTGGCCATCTTTTAGTCTTGTTTCTCCTACAGTGCACCAGGTTATGGACTGTTGTTATATACTCAATTGCTGATGTATAAATGGCATTAAATCTAATTTCATTTCCAGGAAAGGACCAGTTCTTAAATCCTTGGCATCAGTGTGTTGCTCTCATTTCCAAGACTGTACATTTTTTCAATTGCCTCCACAAATTGTTTCTAAAATCATCTAAGCACAAGGTTTGGTAACAGATCTTTGGCCCATAATTTGGTTTTGGGGGCCTTTTTTTTGAGGCGGGGGGCAGGGGGTGGGGTGGAGATTGGTTGGGGTTTTTTGTTTTGTTTTTTGGGGGTTTTTTTGAGCTGCTAGTGAACCTCTCTTATAATCGATTTCTGCCTATGTTAGCTGTTTTTGAAAACTGAGAACATTTTCTACCTCACACTCACTCATGTGTAAAAAATAGGAAAAAGCTGAAAAATTGTGTTTGTTCAAAGCAAGTATTTAACTCAATGTATTTCTAATATCATATGCAAAACAATTAAAAAAAGATTACAAACTTTCTGATTCCATCACTACTCTGAAGTGCCATCTAGTGTCACAGAGGGACAGTAACAAAGGTACTGTTAACGAGAAAACCAAAAGGAAAAGGTTTATGAAGCTTTATGAGAAGAGGGTACTTAAATTCACATACTCTGTTGTTTTGGTTTTCTCTTTTTATCAAGTCAGAGATGCAGAGCTGTGAAATCAATAGTCTTTTTGTACACCCACAAATGCACTTGCTTTGAACAACGATGTGTTTTTGCTCATTCTTTCTGTATGCACACATTGCTCTGAAGTCAGTTTTGCTTCAGAGACTCGCCTACATCTGTGTTTTCTGGTTTTTTTTTTCTGAAGAGTTGCCCTAATTTAGCTGAAAATAGATCATTCAAGAAAAAGGAAGATTAATTAAAGAGTCATGTTAGTGACAATTTGCAGAGCACTGAGGGGAAATATGGGCTATGAGATAGAGGTTCAATATTAAGTGCCTCATCTTCAAAATGAAATTATGAAATTCAAAATAGTTGATAATTTTTAGTGTAAAACTTTACCTAAAAATTCTCCAGCAGCTCCATCTGCAAAAGAACAAAGTTTCTGTGGATGTCCTGAAGAGGCACAAAAACTGTTGAGCTGTTTGGATTACACTCAACACAAACACTCAAACAGCTAGACTCATCAATGGCTGCATTTTAAGTGACACAAACCAGCCTTTGGCCTCCTGCCCTGCTTCCTGCTCTGGAAGTTCAGGGCTGTTACTGTGCCATGAGAGGATCAGTCTGCACACAGGCACCACTGAAGGCTGTTTACCCTGCCTGTTAAACACCACACTTTCCTTTCTGAGATTTAAAGAAGTGGTTTCTTCAGAACTGCTTTGTCAGGCAGTTCTCTTTCTCAGTGTGTACATTATGCTGCTTGAAAGCTTTGGAGATTACCTCTATGTGGGTGTCTGAAGTCAGTAGACCAGAAGAATGTTAATGCTCTGTTACTGCCTGCTTGAATTGGACTTAAATCTGCAGGAGAAAAAATGGGGAAAAAAAACTACGAGAAATTTTATTGTCCTAATTATATATTTATTTATATATTTCACACCTCTTTTTAGACTACAGCAGAAAAAGAATAACAAAATTATAACAGTGTGATGAGAAGCAGTGATGGTTGTGTTTCTATATCCACAAGTATTTCTGCAGCATGAAACACAGTTAAGAAGCTTTTGAAAAGCAGCAATAATTGTAGGCCTTGCATCTGCAAACACTTAACCACACAAATAGCTCTAATAGTTGCACTCAGAGGAGGTGAAAAAATACAGATGGGCATCAATTTTGAAGGTAAACAAAAAAAAAAAGTCATCTCTTTAAATATAAAAGGCTGTTTTAAAACAAAAAAAATCCAGAACTGTCTAAAACACCTCAATCGAGAAATTTTTCATACCAGGAAATGTCCCAGGTACTTCCTTTGGCTCACTCCCAGAAGGAGAGAATACTTGAAAATTATTATGATTTCTAGTCATAAATGGCATGATATTTTGTTTAGATGCACAAATATTAATTAATAGATGGGATGATGTTGTTCCTAGCTTTTTGCAGAATGGACAGTGGAATATGTACTGCTTTATTCTGGATATTCCCTGGATGAAAAGATAGAATTTACCCTCAGAAATTTCACTGATGATACAAAACTGGGGAGGGCTGTTGGCTGATCTGCTGAAGGCTGTACTGCCATTCAGTGGGACCTTGATAGACTGGAGAATTGGGCAGAGAGAAACCAATGAGGCTCAACAAGGGCAAATTCAGGGTCCTGCACATGGAGAGGAATAGGTCCAAGTGCCAGCACAGGCTGGGGCTGACCTGCTGGAGAACAGCTCTGCAAGGATGGGCCTGGGTGACAAGGTGACTGCGAGCCAGCAGCATCCTTGCAGCCAGGAGGGTCAGGGATGTCCTGGGGTGCGCTGGCAAGAGTGTGGCCAGCAGGCCGAGGGGGATGATCCTGCCCCTCTGCTCAGCCCTGGTGAGGCCACTCCTGGTGCTGTGTCCAGTTCTGGGCTCCTCAGGACAAGAGAGAAAGGGAGCTACTGGAAAGGGTCTGCAAAGGTGATTGAGGGACTGAAGAATCCCTCTTATAAGGAGAAACTGGGAGTGCTGGGCCTGTTTAGTCTGGAGAGGAGAGACTGGGAGGGGAATCTCACCAACACCTGTAAATATCGCAAAGGTGACTCTCAGGGGATGGTGCCAGACTATTTTCAGTGGTGCCCAGTGACAGGGAGAGGAACAGTGGCAATAAATTAAATGACCAGAAGTTTCATCTCAACATTAGGAAAAACTTGTTTACACTGAGGTGGCAGAGCACTGGAACTGGTGCCCAGTGAGGTTGTGGGGTCTCCCTCTCTAGACACATTCACAACCTACCTAGACAAGTTCCTGTTCAACCTGTTCTAAGTTGCTCTGGCAACTCTCAAGGTGCCTTCCAACTGTGATTCTGTACAAATTATTACAATTTACAAAGCTTTCTATATTCACTTTTAACATGAAATCAAGCAAAATTTTTCACACTCTTTATGTTATTGTCTAACCAGTATTACAGTATATATTTTGTGGTAAATCTAACTTACACCTTTTATTCATTTTCAACTAGTGTATTAAAGCATATATTATATTTGAATAAAAAACTTTTAAGAATTTTGTTGCTATTTTTGAAATTACAAGTTTATGCAAGCTACATTATTGTTTCCAGATGAAGACTTTAATTGAGATTAATTAGGCTAGTCCTGCTCTACAGAGTAATTTTTGAAAGTGTTCAAATCCCTAAAGTCATGGAAAATAGGGACCATGTGTCTGCTACTAAGCACATGTTAGAAAGTCCTTTTAGCAGGAAAAAACTCAGACCCAATTAAAGCTAATCATGTAGGATTCTGATGCTGGATCCTTTAATCTTTTAATTTCAAGGTATTGAATCTTTGCAGGAATCAAAAGCTTGTAAAGAATAAACCAAATTCCAGAGTGCAGAAAAAAAAAAGAAATTTCAAGATGCATAAAATAATCTCAACATGAAAGAAAAATTCTAACTACTGCTTGCCTATGCTAGAAACTCTAGACAATTGAAATGCT